CTGCTGACCCACTCAGCCAGCCCAGACATGCAGAAGCCATTCATCTGGCTCCGTAGCACAAGGGAAATTAAACAGGAGTACAATAAAAGACATAAGACGTAAAGATAAAAAGACAGTTCCAAAAAGTCAAGCTGGAAGTAAATGTTTGATTGACAAACTTAGTAAATTCCCATAGAAAAGAAGTTTTGCTTTTCCTTTAGTACTCATATTTTATTCTTCCAGAATAGTACAGCAGCCTGGCAACCAGTGACTTAACTTTTCTGATTTGATGGTTTCAGCTACCGGCCTATTCCAGAAGATGTTCTTCTACACGCATTTGAGGTCTGTAACTAAATATTCAAGTACTTAATTGCTGGAAAGAAGTTGCTGATTCTTGATTCAGTATGGTTAAAACCACAAGTTTTATTCTTTTTCTTTAAAGGCTTTGGATGAAAAAAAATGTGGACATATTACTAAAGAGGAGCTAATCAAATATTTGACTGAAGAAGGTAAGATGACTTCTGTAAGATCAGCATTTAAGTAAATAAACATTACATGTGTATATGGCATCTTGAGGTCCTCATTCTGCATGCCAGAACCTGCAGGAGTAGATACATTCTCTTCAAACAGTGCTGTTGCCATGATGGGTGGCTGCAGACTAGAACATTTCACTGGTGAATAATACAGGGAAAGAATGTTTATCTGTCTGCTTGCAGACATTATAAGATAGAGATGATTATTATTAAGAATCATAATTCAATCTTATGTGTATATTTTATGATTCTGTGCACATCTCTGTACTTCCTAAGGATGTGACTCTTTTTCTGTCCTCCTGTAAAACTGTAGTTTAGATTTCCAGGTGTTTCAGGTAGTTTCAGTGCTCATTCATTCCTACATTATCTTGATCTTAATTTTGGTGCTGTATGCAAACAAAGAGATTCAAAGACCAGATTTAAGTTGTATATCATGTGATCCTCAATATCCCTTGAAGAGCCGGCTTTTCTTGCATGGCTGACTCATGCTTGCCTGCCTCAAGTACAAAACAATGTGCAGGCTTATCCTCAGAAGGGGTCTGTCTGCTCAAAGAGGGATGCAGTAGGCCAGCAGCAGCTTTGAAGCTCCTCAAAGAGAAGAAACAGAAGCCTTCCATGATGTAAATACAAGTGAAAGGATGGCCAAATGAGAGATAATTCTAATTACACACTCGAAGAATTCATTCTGACAAAAATGATTGTTTCGAAATCCCTGTGGCAGAGAGGAACAGGCTGTTTTGGAATCTGTGAACTAGAAGGAGATCAGAGGATCCAGGTCCTCTGTCTCCTTTCCCTTAGACCGGCTCGCTCGGTGTGCAGGACTTACATTGGCCAAAGTGAAGGAATCGGATCCTTAGTATTGCTCCTTTTCTCCTCTGTGTGAGGACCATAAGGAGATCCTGGCAAGGGAAAAGCGGTGTAATTGCCAGTCCTGAGAAGAATACTTATCAAGACAAAGCATTATTCTCTGCTGCCTTTCAGGTGAGCCCTTTACTCAGGAAGAAATGGAGGACATGCTCTCCACTGCTCTAGATCCAGAAACAAACACTGTTCGCTACAGAGACTACATTTCAATGATGGTAATAGATGAAACTTAAGATATTCCCCTTCAGTTTTTGAGATGCCTTTTGGTAACAGCAGTGTAGCTTGGCAGTTAGTTGAAATATGTATTTTAAAGTATAACAAAGCTCAGCGTGAGACCTTGTGCTTCTAATTAAAATAAAATCTGTGTAGCTATATTTCCTTGAGTTCTGTATACATATTGAAATATATTCACACCTGGAAAAAGAGCTCTTGACAGAAATACTGTCTAAGGTCTGGAAAAGAAATCGTGGAATTTGATTTGAAAAATAACAGGAAAAATAATGTCAATGGAATTGAGAAATGACTTCATAATTGCTTCTGAAACACTAATGGAAAATTGGACCTGTGAAAGTGGGTAATAAGTAGATAGCTGAGTACCTTAAGAAGACTAAAATTGTGAAGGCATGCTACTAAGATAAAGCTTTTATATTAAAATGTAATCCCTGTTTGTGTTTAACTAATACGGCACCAGGTCGGTTACCACTTTTGAAATAAGGTAATAGATCAAATAAACTTTCTACGGTTTTCAGTTTTTGCAAAATATTTGTGCTGTGTTTACTGCAGGCAATTAAGCTGGACCCGTTAGTTCCATTTTACATTACTCATCCATTGGCACATGGTATTTTGCTTCCATTTTAAACGTGCAGGTAACACTCAAACCATTGCCATAGTCAAATTTACAAACAAAGTAATCCTTGGGAACATTTCTCTTTCTATAGGCAATAAACAGTTCCCCTTTCATAACCAGTGTGAAAATCAGGAGCTAAACCTGTTCAAAACTGTGTTCAGTTTTGGGCTCCTCACTATAAGAAGGACATTGAGGTGCTGGAGTGTGTCCAGAGAAGGGCAACGAGGCGGTGAGGGGTCTGGAGAACAAGTCTTATGAGGAGCAGCTGAGGGAGCTGGGGCTGTTTAGTCTGGAGAAGAGGAGGCTGAAGGGAGACCTTGTTGCTGTCTACAACTACCTGAAAGGAGGTTGTAGTGAGGTGGGTGTTGGTCTCTTCTCCCACGTAACTAGCGATAGGACGAGAGGCAATGGCCTCAAGTTGCGTTAGGGGAGGTTTAGATTGGATATTAGGAAAAATTTCTTTCCTGAAAGAGTGGTCAAGCATTGGAACAGGCTGCCCAGAGAAGTGGTGGAGTCCCCATCCCTGGAGGTGTAGGTGTGGCACTTTGGGATATGGTTTAGCAGGCATGGTGGTGTTGGGTGGATGATTGGACTTGATGAGCTTCGAAATCTTTTCCAAACTATGATTCTGTGATAGAACTGGAATTTGATTTTCATAAACTGATGAAGCACCGCTTTTGGAAAGATGTTAGTGTAGAATATGTGTCTCAACTACCCTTACTAGAAGACCACCACAGACCTCACTGCTTTTCTCACTTCTAGCTTAATCATTTTCTTGACTGTTACTGTATCATTGTCCTTTAACCTGAGTTCGAGCTCTCCCCTCGAGTTCTTGCCTTGTACATTCCCTGCTAACAAGTGACCAGCGGTTGCCCTCAGTTGAGGAAGTCCCAGCTTGTAGGAGAAGATTCTGTGGTCTGGTCTCTAAGGACCTTGTACTTTGTGCTCCACGCCTTTGACCCATTTCTGTTTTTCCACTCTCTGCCAAGTTTGGTTTCCTCCTGTACAGTGTCCTGCCACTCCTCTGTCTTAACCACGCATCCCAGCTCTGTGTCCTCAACAGACTCCATCAGCTGGTGGGATCCGGGGAAGACTGACACGCAGAGGCGCTGAGTGCGTTACCCCCTGTCATGCCCCACTAGCAGCAGGGCTGAAAACAGCACAGGGCTCCTCGTGTCAGGTCTTCTACTCAACCTGTTGATTTCCCTTGAGCTGCAAGCTTGGAGGAGCTGTTTTCATACACAGCTGCAAGGGAGCTGCTGTCCTTCACAAAGAAGTGATTAGCACGATCTAAATGTGGTGACGGAAGCAATCTGAAAGAGACCATTTGTTAATTCTCTTTTTATTTCTCTAGCCCAAATTGCCTTTCACTGATATTTTCTTAAACAGTAGGCAACAATGCAGGTAAACAACATTTGCCTACCTCTAAGCTGGGTTTCCATCTGGGAGTCACTGTTGTACTGTCCTAAGACTCTGCAATCCGCTCTTGTTAATACATTTACTCTGTATTTCATTTCTTTGTCAGTAAGAATGAAAAACAAAGGTAATCATTAGTGTTATAATGTGTGAAGATACAGGTTTTTGAAGATTAAAGCAAGAGCAACAAAGGCCCATTAAGAAAATATATTTTTGTATTATCCCTCTTTAGTCTCTCTTTGGAAGCTAAAATTATTTTCCCTAGATGAATCCCTCTTCCGTTTGATATACCGTGTGTTCTACTGGAGCTCTAACACAGCTGGCAGGAGTACAAGTTTCATTCATATTCTGCAGCCTGGGAGCCACTGTCAGCCTCCGCTTGCATATCAGCAGGAGGATGCTTGTTTCGGGAAGTCATTTCATAGCTCGCAGTGCTCCAGAGGGAACACGATTTGTTTCTGGTGGTGCTACCCCAGAGGCTGCCTCAGCTACTGCTGCACCAAGTCGGGATGCCCACATACAACGTGGTTACAATTCATGGTGCAGATAGGTTCTTAACATGTATGCTTTGATGATATATATAATTTTTATCCTGCAGTCCTCAAATTCAAGGGAAGAGGGTGTTCTGGCAATGAAAAAGTGGGATTGTGTCTGACTTTATCACACCGCAGCTCCTTCAGCCCCATCTTCTTATAGCTGTCCCCAGGAAAGATGTGTGCAAATGGGACAGATAAAAACAAGTTGCATTCTTCCCTTTGGGCAGAAGCAACCGAATTCCATTGCCTGGGGAGTTTCCAAACGGGGGTGAAGGCAGTGTCGAGAGCCAACCTCAGACTCTGTAGGACCCTAAAAGCTGAGTGCTCCCTGCCAGGTAGGATCACGTAGCCGTGATCTGACCGGCTTCTGAGGGAACTGCCCCGTGGGTCACCCCAGAAGCAGCTGAGCAGTGCCGCGCACGACTGGTCCCTTGCCCTTGTCTTTCACGACTTGCCAGCCCGTGCTGTGCCCACCCATGTCCCCGTGGTGGTGGTGGGCTGCGTAAGGGGAGGCTGCGAAGCTCCCTGGGACAGGCTCTCCCGAGTGCCCTGCGTCTCTGTGCTCCCTGGGGACAGGCAGGGTCCCATACCTGGGGGGGTGGAGGGGAGGCTTAGGGAACCATTTTGCAATAACTAAGAAGACCTCTGTTTCTAAATTTGAAGGGAAAAATACATGACTTTGTCCTCATCTTTGAGGTGGACAAATTGAACTGCCAAGTGGCCTTGAGCTGTCTCTTGCTGCGTGCCTCTCCTTGCTGGCTGTTTCGCCGCTTCCCTCCAGATCGGGAACAGAGATAAGGGAGTGGATCGCTCAGGAAGCCTCTAGGGAGGAGCCAGCCTTGCACCTGGACTAAATCCGCACCAGGGAGCAGAGCTTCTTCCCCGAGCAGAAACTGGGGAAGTCAGAGGGTTTTTGACCTAGCTGAACGAGCGAGAGGGAAGGGAACTCATTACCCAGATGTAAAAAGAAACAAAAAAGAAGAAATCAAAGAAGCAAACCCTGCAAATCATCTAGAAATACAGCTGAATCAGCAGGCTGTTTACATCACTGCTGCAAGTTGTAGGCTGGACAAGACCTTACTTGTTTAAAACTTAAAGTAGGTTCAGCTCTGTCAGGGCATATCTGGTATATGGCGGAGGCCTTCTCCTCAGTCTTCCTGATATGGTGGAGAAATTCTTCCAGCTGCTGAACTTGTGTTTGGGAGTCCCGTTGCTCGTATTCCAGGTAACACACTGCTTTTTATGTTTCCCTCATTGGCTTTGGAGTTGCTTCTCCAAAACACCTTTCTGTCCACTAATGACAGTCCCATATATATTCACACCTGAAGGCTTCAACATTTTCCCATTGCAATGCATACCAGCCTGGTATTTACAGTTCTTTTTGTCTCTCCACCGACTGTGGGCAGAAGCTGCAGGACTTCCTCCACCAAAAGGCTAAAGGGCCAGCATCAGACTGGGACTCCAGGAAGGGAACTGGGCTGTTCACCTGTGCACCCATGTTTTCACAGAGGTAAGAGCCTGCAAAATGTTCAGGCTCTTACCTCTGTTTGGGCAACAAGAATCTGCAATGTTTCTCCTCCTTTCTCTTGTTTCAGTCTATCTGTTCTCTTATACCTCTTTTCGTTAATCCAGTTGCATGATAACCTGCGGGGGTTGAAAATGCAAGAGAGTTTTGCTCTGCCGCACACTGCTGATGCCCCGCTGCTTGCTCTGGCAGCTGCCTGTATCGGGGTGCTGCATATCACCGAATCTAGCCTTGCTGCCACTGAAAGCAGCACTGGCATCTCAACCCTCATCCCAGGTGATGGGAAGAACTGAGGCCTTCAGTTTCAGGGGGGAAGGTGGCTGGGACGGGGACGGGAAGCTGTGATTTTTTAAGTCCTGTAATATGCTGTTATCATTGTGTAAAAGGGGGAGCGTAGTCTCGACAGGGAGGCACTGGGTTGGCAGTCAGGTTTCATTGTAGACTGTGAGAAGTGTTGGGTAAGTCACATAACCTCTCCCTCGCTGAACTTCCTAGCTATGAAGTCAGAGTAATTACAAGGAATAGGAGACAGGGAGTATCGGTCTTGCCTACCCAGACTGTCGACTGTTGTATCACTAACTCTGATGTTTGCACAGTGTCTGGTACTAAAATGTTCTGATCAAAATCAGTGCCCACAGACCTCCTTGTCACATAATTAATAAAGTTCTCAGCCTTCGGGTCTTTTGTTGCAGACTGTACGTTCAGGTGGCAACTTCTAAGCAGGTCAGTCTACAGGCAGTGTTTGCTTTTCACTGAACACAACTCTGTTTCGTAGCGTCTCGTGCCGTGATAGGTTTGGTTGTAAAGCGAACTGTTGAAACATCTGGTCTTATTATTGGAGGGGTTTTTTGGGCACGTCAGTACTAGGTGTGGGGACTATGCTGATTTAAAAGCTAAATAAAGATGTAG